CCGCCACCCGTGGACGCGCCAGGTAGCCTGCAGCTTGGCTAACGGGTGACCCACCTTTCTTGGGTAACCCGCCTCCATCTGGTTACGACAATATGGTACTGTACATTGTTATATTTTATTTCTATCGTAAAGGAAACACTAAGCCCTTTCATAATATCAGAACAGAACATTCATGGACTATTAGCATGCTCTTGCGGGTGTAGCCAATCAGAACTCTAACAAAACTTTCCTTGCTTCTGATTGGCCACTGTCCTGTGACGTGTTTGTCAACGTGTGAATCTTGGTCCTGGTTCGGCCAATCGATCGCCTCCCATGACCTTCAGGTGTATCGTGTTGCGTGTTGGCTTTGTATGTCTTTCGTTGGCGTTTCCTGCAAACGCCTTACACCTTCCGGGTACTCAACTGTAATTATCTATCTAAGGCTTCTGGCAAGGGAGTTTAAGAGCCGAAGGCTACTAGGGCAATCCAGAACTCGGAATTGTTGGATATGCGTCGTGAAAAGAAGAACTTCGCGGCAGTAGGAAAGTACGGTACGCTACATTCAGAAGATCGAAGTGGTTATTGTGCGTACAGTTCGCTCAAGCTGTCATGGAACCGTCACAAATATATCCTATGTTAGAAAGAAATATATAGCTCGGATGGAATCGACTGTAGTATTGTGGATCAGCAAGTGCAGAAAAAATGCATCCCTTTAGATGGCAGCGCCATCAAAGAAGAGGCACTTACGCACACTACGTACGGTATCTTTTTGTGCGTATTTTTATTGTACGGTACTATTTATGCTTACTTTTACCTCTACAATTTTAGTGGTCATGTAAATAAAAACATTAGGCAACTGTAGTTTAAGTAGTGTAATTCATATTCCCTCAGTCCGAGCTTTTTGACCAACGGAAACGGTGGTTATAGGGGTTTTACGCGTGGGGAATTATGATAGGCGGTGGGATGTACTTTAATAACTGTTATATGCATTTTTATTTTATTGTACTTAGAAATGTTTACTTATACCTGTAGATTTTCCTGATCTGTGTTATCGTTTAACGTATTCCGGAAATAACCGTATATGCTACTGTTCTCTGACTATGTTTCTGATGACGAATCTGCGACGGATCTCGAAACGTCAGACGAATAAAAGTATTGTCCCAGCGATCGAGTCGTCTTATTTTCAAAAACCGATTATCAAAATGCCGGTTTCTTGAAATTCCTGAGAAAATAGAAATGGTGGTTAGGAGGTCGTTTACTTCGACCTACCTGAGGCTCAGCTTACCCATCGAGCGTTAGATTAATATAGTGGGCGGCACGAAACGCCGCGCACACCTTCAATTTACATGCGGAACAACTTACTCCCTGCGTCCGCGGGAAACAAATTCAATTACATTTTCCCCTTTCCACTTACTTCTACAAATTTCCTTCACTGCCTATCCTATTTCCCCACCCCTAAAACCCCTACATCCGCCGTTTCAAAATGAATTGGAAGTTGAGAAGAAGACGAAAGTGTGTGTGTTCACCGTCAGAGTCTATCGGAATAGAACAACTTGTGAACATTGATACAGACGTACCGTTGGGGAGGAGGATTGTGTCAGTGACTGGATCTGCTTAGCATTGCCCTGCTCACAATGGTCTAACAGCGAGGTGGCCACGTTTACCTTTTGCAGCATGCCATCTGGCTGCGTGGGCGTAGCGTGTGATAACACGAGGAACGTTAAACATATCTATGGATGGAGTTGGTGTCTCCCACCTACGTCTACAATAGTTGCCAGTCCGCGCCAGTATTGGCGAAGCCAGTGTCATGGCCTTCTAGCGTGCGAGCGGTGGCTTGCGACAGTGATTCGCCACTCCAAACGGCTTGTTTGTGCTCGAGGATCCGCGAGCCGA